CCATCTGGAGAAACTCTTGATCTTGTACATTATGGGAGATGAAATGTCAGTTGGTTCCTACTGTTCTATTTTTCTCTCCTAATTAGAAAACTAATCTGGGAAGGGGAGGAGATGTTGGTTTTAACGGTGGCAAAAGTTCTCTTCTTTTATTGTCTGCATTCTGTATGATTGAAAGGTGATTGTCCAAGAAAAAACAACAGCTAAGACTGATGGATATGAGTCATACATTTTCCGTGTTAAAAATTACCTTTGGCAGGAACTTTCCTTTGCAAAGTGTACAAGGTTCTTTTGTTTTTTAAAAAGTCAGAGACCAAAATATGAATACTTGAAAATAATTATATTACTTGACAATCATTATATTTCATGTTCATTATTTATATAAATAATATTTTGTTTGGAGGTGTCATGGATTGTTGACCTGGTAAATTTTTTTTTTCAATCCATAAATATGTATTTACCTATAGACAATGTAGATTTTTTTTAAAGAAATTGTTATTGTATTCAGAGTTCAAAAAATAGCTATGAGTATTTTCTTTCCATACTTCCTCAGCTCCCTAATCTGTCCCCAAAAGTGTATATGCTGGCAGCATTGATAGGAAGAGTTGTCTCATTCTTCCTTTTGCTAGTTGATCTTTCTATATTAACACAGGAGTCAACGTCACATTATTATTCATCTTCATTGATGAATGTGCAGCTTCTGAGAAGCTCTGTCAGTTTCTGCACTGAATATTTAGTCTGTTTATTCTGCTTCCTTCTTAACTATGGAAGAGGAACAATTTTAATAGGCCTACCTAAAGATGATAATAAAATGTTATAATATTTTCCTCTTTCAGAGCTCCTAAGGCTAGCTGTGCCCAGGATTTTCATAGAATTGTAGGACTGGAAGGGACCTCAAGAGGTCTTCTAGTCCCGTTCCCTGCACCCAAGGCAGGACTAAGTATTATCTAGACCATCTTTGTCTAGCCTGCTCTTAAAAATCTCCAATGATGGAGATTCCAGAACTTCCTTAGGCAATTTATTCCCGTGCTTAACTACCCTGACAGGTAGGAAGTTTTTCCTAATTTCCAACCTAAACTGCCCTTGCTGCAATTTACACTCATTGCTCCTTGTCCTATCCTCAGAGCTCAAAGAGAATATTTCTCCCTCCTCCTTGTAATAACATTTTATGTACAGAAAAACTGTTATCATGTTCCTCCTCAGTCTTCTCTTCTCCAGACTAAACAAACCCAAGTTTTTCAATCTTTTGACCTGGTGTAGAGCTCGTTGGTAGTTTTGTAGGTATTGTGCAGACGTCTTCATATTGTCCCTGAAAACCTTCATCCGAAGGTCCTGTTCTCTTCTAGATTTTGCATTTTTTTCTCTTGCAAGTGCAGAATTGAATTCTCTTTGAGAATAGTTCTGTAGATAGCTGTTCAGAATGCTGTGGTATTGTGATTTGTTTATTTTAATAAAAAAGCCCTGGCATCTTGGAGGATGGAGGAGTGTTTGTAAAGGGGCTTTATTCCACAAACTGATCTATGAAGGCACACTCTTGTGTCTGTGTAGTGTCCCATAGATTTCAGTGGAATTCCATGCAAGGGGGCCTCCGGTGTGGAGCAAGTTATAGGATTGAGGCATGGTGTGTAACTGTTGTCTCTTAAAAAAGTCATTATGCTTGCAGATTGGTAAAGTGGCCTAAATCATAAACTCCTTTATCTCCCAAATAGGTAATTGCTTGGGCTTGAAAACAGCCCAGAATAAACTTCATCTGGTATAAAGTACAGCAGCCTACCTCAGCAACATGTATTGCCAAGAGCACATCAGCCACTCTGGTGGCTCCCCTATAGGATACTGATCTAAATTTAAGATCTCGATCAAGTTATTTTTGAGGTTCTGAATGGACAAGAACCAGGTTACCTAAAGGACTTGCCTCATCCTCCGGACATGGATTGCCCTCGACAGCTCCACTCCTCAGGAATGGTAGAATGCATTAAGAATTGTAAACTCCTTCATCTTTAGGACCAATGTCAAATTCAATAAGTAATACAAGTGTCTTTGGACTAGTAGATGAAAAGTTTCTGTTTCCATGTTCTGTATCTACCACCAGTATTTCCTGGCACTAGATGGGGAGCTATGTACTGTTATTCTGAAACCAGATGTAGCCTCCCCACACTGTTAAATTAGCCAGTGCCAAAGGGTTAATAAATCTGTGTCTGGATTAGTAACCCTGGGTTTAGTGCTTCCAGATAGAGCCTCTTTCTAGCTTTTTTTGTTTGTTTTTGGTTTTGCTGTGACCCAGTTTCCTCCCCAGAGAGACTATTGTCCCCAGCAATTGTTGAAGCGGAGTAGCTATTTAGTTCCAAAAGGATAACATAATACACACAATTTGGCAGTTGCTTGCTTACAAGGACTTAATCATGGTAATTGTACATGGTGTCTGTATAAGTCTGTGTGTGCACCATGATATACAGCACTTTTTCAACAAAAGCATGTTTAGTGGCCATTCAAGGAGTATAGTGGCTTAAAATCCAAATCACCGTGGCTATCGCCTCACTACTTGTATTCCATGTGACCCATTTGGCCAAATTAATCCCTGGTGTAAGACCACTGATTTCATGGGCTTTTACTGGGGACAAATGTGGCCTCATATATAAACACTGAATGAAGCAACCATGAGCATGCTGTGGTGCTATTGCAGAAGAGGTGGGGTAATCAAAAAATTGCAGTGTATTTGCAAAGCAAAATTCACCCCAGTACTGAGGAGCCAACACACTATGTGGATCTTAAATCCAATGTTAATGGCTTATATCAGGTTTCCTCTCCATTCATTTTTAAGTTTGCTTATGTTAACTAAACTCCACCAGGCACACTTTAAAATGCTCTTAAAAATGAATTAGTTATTTTCTTAAAAAATAGGTTTTTCCCATGTTATATCAATTCTGAGTTCTAAGACTTTGGGGTGTGGGGAAGAAAGCCTGAGGACTTCATAAATAGAAGCTTAATTTTACTGCATTTATCTCTATAGCTGCAATTAATTATTCAGCGTATCCATTAAAAATTAAGCCTTAGTAAGTGACACTTTTAAACATGCATTCAAAATTTATTGAAAATGGGGGAAATGATGATAAAAAGAACAATGTCTAAAAGAAAAATAAAATGTCTTAAAAGAGTCTCAATCTGTCCTTAAAAACTTCAGTATATAACCTGTAGTACATATAAAAGGTGGAAGCGGAGGGGAATAGAGCCGGGAATGCAATGGGAAGGAGTGGGTAGAGCAGGGCAGCTTCCAGTGTTGCTAACTTTCATGATTTTATTGAGAGTTTCATGATATTCACTGCTTTCTTAAAACTGCAGCTGCTGAAATCCTGAGATTACATGAGAATCTGAGCTTTTGTTAGATAAAAATTCTAATTACATAGTCATGGAGAAATGCTTGAAAATGTGACTTGAGTGCACCATAAACACTCAGAACCCAGAAAGCAAATAAAAAGAATTTCAAATGCATTATTTAAAACAATCTCATGATTTTAGGCCGGTCTTGTGATCTTTTGAGACCTGACTCATTTTAAACGTTTGGGGTTGGCACATACAAGGCCCAGTACATTCTGTACTTGTTCACAGTTCGATTAAACCCCCTCCAGAGCGTGTGAGGTTCATAGGGCTTCAGAGCCAACAGATGGTTGTCAATCTATAATTAATCCCATTTGTTATGGGCAACAGATACAATTATACATAGATTACACACACATCCCTTGGCAGTGGAGCTAGAATGCTGTTCTTTTAGCTCATAAAACACAGACTTCCATCATGAGAGATAAAGAACAACTCCCTTAATTTACGGTTAGTTCTTGTAGTATGTGGCTTATCGTTTCTGTAGGCCAGTCATGAAAGGGGTGACATCACATGCATATGGAGACGTACATATACACACACAAACATACAGTATGTAACAGCTGAAATAGATAGAATATTGCTATCAGATTGCTCATGTTATTTCTTATGTGTGATTCTAATATCTGGCAGACTAAAGTTAAGAAAAATAAATATCAGTGATATTTTTCAGATGTTGACCAATAAAAAACAATAGAAAAAGTGTGTACAGTGATGAGAAATTAGCTAGTCTTCTCTTGCCACCCCAGCAGGGGAAAATGTGTGTGTGTTTTAAGCCTATCATTGAGTATAATGAAAACATTTAGTTTTTCACACCAAAACTATCCCATACTTTTGAAAGATTTTTGTAATGGCATGAGAATAATAGGATGATGATAATCTCTGAAACCAATTAAAATAATAAACTGCATGCCAAATAAGTTTATTTACTTTACCTTTGTTTTTATATTAACCCAAAATGTTACCCTATGCATTTTTTGTTTGGATCATGGAATTCTTAACAGATTTTTTTTGCACATTAAATACACGCAAACAATGGTCTAGTCCCATCAGTAACTAAAATTAGAGTCTTTTCCCTTTTCTCCGTTCTGTCCCCATGTCCTAAAAAAAATAGATTTGTTAGAAGATCAGATGTCTTCTCGGTTAAGCCCATCAGCTCAGTTTACAGCAGAATGCCTTTCCCCTCCTTTTCCTTTGGGGGAAATATTCCATTAAAATGTTGCTTTTTATTATACAATGGCCAGTTTACCTCACAAAATCTTCACCCTTGTAATAATTCTCCAAAGCAGAAATTTGAGGGCTCTTAGTAACTTTTTTTGTTTACAGACTTCCTCCTGGTTATCTTGAGTTGATAAATTCTTTATCACCCTGGAAGGGGTCACAGACTGTTAATAATTTCAGTGAAGCAGTCAGTCCCTTGGAACTGTATGGATGTCAAATATGTGGATTACAAGCGGTAGCATTTGATACATAGTAAATAGCTCTGATGTTGGGGGTGGGGGGAAAACAAACCCAGAAACAGCCTTTCAGTTTTAGTGTAAGAGTTCATTTAAATACAAAGACTGGCTTAATGTATTATTTAAAAAGGTTTGCTTCTTTACATTCTATTTCTCTTTGATTTTGTCTTGTAGTGTTGTCCCACAGACTACAGTTATACTGAACAATGATCGGCAGAATTCAATAGTAGCCAAGATGGTTGGGCAGGAAGAGCCATTGAGCAGAACAGCGGATTCTCTGGAAAATATCCTTAGCAAGTTAGTAGCAACAATTGCAATCCTTCCCCTACACGTCATTAGTTCTTACAGGAAATCCAATCTACTGCAATTACAAGTGCAAAATAAGAACATCCTAGGCAACTGAGCTTGAGGAAAAAATATTCACAAAGTAGTGAAAAGGGCCAAATTGACAGCCCGGCAGAGCAAAGTCATCTATCAACAGAACAGGTACAGCGCAGTGCCTCAACCTTGTGATGAGTTTTGCGATGTCGACTCTTGTCCACTTTGAACTGTACTGAGACCTCCCAACTCATTAACGAAAGGACATTCAGTGGCCGTCCGTAGTAATAACTTTTGTTCTGGCCAAGGCTGGATTTGACCTAGTTACTTGAAAACAAAGGCTCAGTATAGAAAACTGTTTGAAGTAACAAGCCATGCTAATTTAACAGTTATGTAAAGAAGTTTCTTTATACTTATTGGTTATAGGTTGTGTATAGACATTTCAGTGATAAAATTTTCAAATAAACTTAAACAGCAAACTACCTTCTGAGTAATTAACATTAGATAGTAACTATAAAGCAAGCCAAAGAACACTTACTTTTAAATAAATATTGACACTTACAAAAGGTTTTAATCTTCTAATGCGTTTAATGTATTTGTGAATAGTATGTATAGCTTTTTTGTGCTATTTGTATAACGTTAACACATGGAAATTTATTTTAGAAAGCTGGGGTTATTGTTAAAATTTCTGACATCTGTACAGAACATGTTTCTTTCTATAAACTTTCCTAGCTCTTTTTGGAGGCTAATGGAGTCAGTTGAGATGTCTTCAGTTCATTCATGCCATACAATTAATACAATATACATTTTATTTAAAGCTTGCTTAACTGAATAGCTAAACGCTATGGAAGGAAATTAGTCAATTCAGTTTTCTATAAATTGTCCTTCATCTGAACCAGAGGCAAATGGATTTATTTTTATTTAATGTCCTACAGGGAGTCATGTTTTGATGCTTTCTGAAGAAGAAACAAAATTCTTGTGTAGCTTCTCGTGTATTAATTTTTGTTAATATCAAAACATTTTTGGGTTTTATGTTAACTTAATTTGCAGAAATATAGTATGTAATTCATTACTTGATGTCAAACACCTGCTGAATGCAAACAGTTTTAGGGTTATTCTGCTACTGCAGTCTTTTTAGCTAGGTAGCTCTTAATCTAGACAGACTAGCTTTTACAAGAAAAGTCATACAGTCAGTAAGCAAGTTGCTAATATTTTTTAATGCACTAGTAACAGTATATTACATTCTTCGAGTCTAGAATCGTGCTTTGCCAAAGTGTGAATTCTTCTTTTCTTTCTCAGTGCTGTTCCTGGTCGTAGACAGAACACCATTGTGGTGAAGGTGCCAGGGCACGATGACAGCCACAATGAAGATGGAGAGAGTGGGTCTGAGGCCAGTGACTCAGTTTCCAACAGTGGCCAGTTAGGAAGCCAAAGTATTGGGAACAATGTTACTCTTATTACACTGAACTCTGAAGGTATGTGATCAAACTGTAAGGCCATTTGAGCAAAATGAGCAGGATGGAGGAATGAGCTAAAATTCTATCAGAAGCTCTTGAGATCATGTCACAGTTCAGTCCTTAAAGAACTATGAAAAAATGTTGAAGTGACCTATCCTATAGGAAGCATCAGATAGGACCGAGTAACAAGCCAAAATAATTCAGTTCCCTTTAACTTTCTGTTCACTTTTCTAGGCAAAAGAGCAAATTAAGTGAATTTGTAATACTCAATAGGCATGCCCCAGAGCACAGCCCTTGATTTAACAGACTCTTTTGCATTAGCAGTATAAGAACACTTAATTTCAATGTTTTTAAATTTAAAGATTTGCAAAATGATAGCTAAATACTTTGGTCCTATCTCAAAGTTGAAATAGAGAGCTAGGGAAATAACTGCATTCTCTGGGAAGCATCAAAATGTCCCAATTCATTGCCTCCTGTAACTTCTTATGCCATTCTACTGATGCTGAATTCTTCTGAAAGTAAACCGTTAGTTATTTTGGAAACTCTAAACAGTTTTTTAACAGGAAATTCCTATAAAAATGTATTGTTTATAGGATAGTTCTGTCAACAGTTTCACAGTTTTCTACAACCTCTACACAACCCAAAATCTCTACAAAACAAAGACAGTGGAATATAACACTTTGAAATGTGTCTTCTGTAGACAATCTGTTATATGTTGTAAGTACTTATGGTATTAAAATACAACGTGAATGCTAGCTGCTATATTTTATGCAATCACAAAAATGATGAAACTATAAAACAATTAGAAGGACACACGTTTTAGGTGAAAAGTGTCATGTAAGTTAAAAAAAAAAAGATCACAATAAATCATAGGTTTTTTTATAATTGCTCTGATTAATCATGTCACTAATTTTTAAACAGAGGCCTGTAATTTGAACCTTAGACCATAAAGTATTTTAATTAAGATAATTACCCACCAACTCTTATTTTATTGAATTCATAAGTGAACCATTCCTTATATTTATTTCATATATGTTAGTTTGTATTTATATTCATGCACCACAGGGGAATATATTAGTATTTGGGTACTCAATTTATCACATCTTAATGCCTGATTTTTCAGAAAATGATGACCATCTACCCTCTGAAAAACAGGTCCCTTTAATGTATCTTACACTGAGCACCCAAAAACTGAGGCTCTCAGAATGACTAGCCACTTTTGAGAATGTTGGCCCATGCTATTTGGGGCAGAGACTGTACATATTTAATATATACATAGGTTATTGTCACTACCAGAAATAAATGAATAATGGTTTGACTATTTCTCATGGAGAGCTTCTTGACTCTTCCAACCTCTGACATGTCTCCTGTGGCAAAATCTGCGTCCAAAAAGTAGTTTTTATTGGGGAGAAAGACAGGAGATCCAAATTTTGAAGCACCCACATTACAAAATAGGCTGGCTGAGGATAGTAATGGCATTGCCATTTGAAAAATCAGGTCCTGTAGCAATGGGACTTGGAATACTTTATTTGTGCAGTTGCTGATGTTTTTGGCAATTTATTTATTTATGTATGTTAAGAAATTGAGTTTCACTGTTCTGGTGTTTACAGAGTCAAATTCTTCTATCTGACACATATGTTCATGTCCTATTGGCTCCCATTGTGAGGACATTTGTTCATACTTTGTGGATAAAATCATGTGGAGTTAGTCCCGAGCTGACTGCTTCATCAGGGTCAGGAAATATCTTAAAGGACGAATGCCAAGTCATCTGCTCTCAAGTTTCAGCCAGTGTCACTCTCTGAGATACTAGATGTGTTGGGTGTACTTCAGTTTTACAGTCCATGTTCTGGACACGTGTGTTCTTCCTCGCTGGAAAAAGCCATTGAGAAGGAGGCTCAGTCAGATAAGACTGAGGCTTATATTGGTTAGCTGGGGGAAGCAACTGGAAGATGTGGCACTGATGGCATTTGGCCTTCTGATTGCTGTTTTATTGTTTCTTTTCACAATGTGGAATTCTGATTAGATCACTGGCTGCTGCTAGATGATTTGGTAGGAGGAACGGTTAGGAGCGCGTTTTCCATTTACCAATGCCTAGGAGGGTTGTGACTGTTCAACTGGACCTTGCGACTGTCAGAAGTGCCTTTGTCACTTTGAGATTGGATTAGTGCAGTATGTTGCACGTGGGGCTACATCTTAAATACATCCAGAAACTAAACCTGGTGCAGAATTTGGCAGCTCATTTGCTCTAAGCAGTGAGCGTTTTACACCAGTGCTCCATGATCTGCAGTGGCTGCCATTTGGTTTCTGGGTGGAGTTTAAGGTCCTGGTTTTGACGTAGAAAGCCCTGAATGGCATAGGATCTGCCTACCACTCTCCTCCATGCCACATTTGTGGCCTGGAAAGATATTAAATTTGGAGTTCCTTCAGTATAAACGATGGGAGCTGCAGACATGGTGTTCTCAATCAGGGCCCCTTTGTATATACCTTCATTGGAGCTAGGGGGCTCATGCTAAAAATAGCTGTGTGAATGTTGCGGCACCAGCAGAGGCTTGCAATAGCCACCTGATATCGGACACAGGAAGTAGAGTGAGCTTGAGCTCCAGTGGCTAGACCAGCTTCTGTTGGTGCTGCTATGCCCACTCAGCTATTAGCATGCAAGCACAAGCCCTGCTAAGACAGGTCTCTCTACCTGGGCTGGGGGGCTTGCTCCCAGCTGCAATGTAGACATATGCCTTGACTTTGGAACTCATTTTCACCTCCTTCATTTACTTTTGTCTGAGTCTGTTGACCAGTAGAGTGTACTGCAAACTCTTTGTCAGTTATTTGTTGCAGGGACGAAGTTTCTAATACTATGAAAATATTTGTTGCAATCTGCCCTCTTTGACATGCTTGTTTGGCATAGGGTTGTACAGAGACAGATGTTGGTCTTTTATGTGATTGTTGTATATGTAAATGTAGGTGAAACAGCTAATCCATTAATGTCTCGCATCCGATTTACCTTGGACCTTTGGTAGAATCATCCATTAAAAATCTCTCTGAGGTTTATGAATGCTTTGAGAAATGGATTAGCAATTCCCCTTCTGCCCCTCCTTCACTGCAAGATTACTCGGCTGTAGAGAATACTAAGGAAACGAGTTTACCATATGTCACAGAAATTAAATGATTAATGAGAAAAGTTCTGCAGAATGATAGATCTGTCTTGCAGATTCATTTTCGTTACTGATAAAAGCTAAAAGTTGCAGTTTACTCTTATATTTTGCAAAGAGCAGATTTTTGAATGGCAAAAGTTGTTCAGAGAAATCTTGAATGATCATAAAAATTTGTACTATTTCTTGAGAGGCCAAAATGGCACAGAACAAATAAGCCTATCTAGTGGCAACAAAAATTACCGAATCCTATCTACTTTACAAAAATAATCATGTTTAAACAGATTTGTTAAATGCTATGGTTTCTGTCAAAGATAGTCCCAATCCTGTAAAGAGATCCACGTGGACTGACCATTGTGGACTTGCAGAGATATAAGGGTCTGTCATTGCCCGTTTAGATGCCTTTGCAGGAACAACACCTATATGATAACATTTATATTACTTGTCAGTATATACAAAAACCATGTTATAACCATGTTGAAGAGCCATGTTTTAGCTCTTGTAGATTACTAGACTAAAACATAGTTTTCCAATATGATTGTAACATGTTTTTTTCTATCCACAGAGGCAAGAATAAACCATGTTAAACATAGTTTGGGCACAACCGGCTTTGAATATGGTAATTTATGTTGTGACAGTGTGGATAAGGCCAAAATTATGTCAAGACATACCACAGGCTTTCAAGACATATCACACAATAATCCTATCTGGGGGATGTTACTGTGCCTCATTCCTTGTAGCTTGTGATGCTTCATAAACTAACCTGGAAATTATTTCAAGTCACTATATCTAGAGACTCAGCACTACGGAACAGATGCTTGTAAGGTGCTGAATGCCTCCTCAGAGGCAAGGGGATTTAGCACCTTGAAGAATCAGGTTCATAGTATTGGATAACCACATATTTAGGTGTTTGTTCGCTGTTTACATAGGCCATTTTCCCCTACCCAATAGTCTTTCTCAGTCTTAGCAACACAGTTTGTGCTCCATATCTGAAAAATCCGGGTATTACTAGAGGTGCACTGAATCAAACCCCCAGATTCAAGAAGCTCCAAGTCATGAATTTTGAAGCTTGTTTTTATTAATAGTTATTCAAAATAGTTTTGTATGTGCAGTAAAGGATAGTCTTTGTTTCTTAATAAAACAGTCTGCTTTAAAAAAACTCATAAAAACCTAAGGTATTAACCCATATTATAAATACAAATTATTGCCTGCAGAATTTCAGTTTTAAAAATTTTGCAGTAATTTATATGAAAAAAAGCATTTGAAAGTGACACGCTTTTAATTTTTATATGTTAAATTTCACCCCCTTAAAATGGGGCTCACAGTGGAAATACTGACGACTTAGTGAAATACAAATGGGACTGTAGTAATAAAACTGGTGCATATGAAGTAATCATGCTGTATTGAAGATAAAGCTCAACAACATGTGTTTTTTGGAGAACAATATCGGTCAAGAAATTCCCAGTGTGAGTCCGTATTAAACAGGCTGAAAGACTTATTTTAAATAATAACCATTACTTTCTCATGTTCTTACATTAATCCCATATTTTTTGGCATAGAAAATAGCAGGTGCATCCTTAATTAGTCCACTAAGAAATAACATTCTTTATACTGAACTCATATTTTACCCCTCAGCTATTAATAACACTGTCAGCAAAGATTAGCCTATTGTCATTTTGAGTGTAGGCTTAATAAAGAGTGTGTCTTGTACAGTATATAACATCTTAGTTACAGCCTGAGTTTATCTCTTGGGAGATCAGAGAAGCGTGGTGTGTGAGGATTGGTTGTATGAAGAGTAGTACAAGGACATGGCGAAATATTTTAGATTAAAAACCATGTGTCTGAGGATGCGTGATCAAGTAATGTTGATGC